GGCAATCGAGGTGGTCCCTCCTCACGACAGGGATTCCGGGTTCTACAGCCAGTACTTCATTGTTCCGAAGAAGGATGGGGGGCTGCGTCCCATTTTAAATCTACGTCAGTTGAATCGCGCAGTCATGAGACTGAAGTTCAGAATGCTCACCATCAAGCAAGTTGTGTCTCAAATCAGATCTGAGGACTGGTTTGTTACGATAGATCTAAAAGTCGTGTACTTTCATGTCTCCATCCTTCCCACTCACAGGAAGTTCCTGAGGTTTGCTTTCAGGGGCCAAGCTTACCAATATCGAGTTCTTCCTTTCAGCCTAGCACTCTCAACCCGTACTTTTACGAAGTATGTGGAAGCTGCTCTGGCTCCACTGCGACTCCAGGGCATCCTCATACTAAATTATATCGACGATTGGTTGATTTAGTCTCAATCGGAGCAGATAGCGGTTCGACATCGAGATGTTGTTCTTGCTCACATGAAAGAATTGGGGTTAAGACTAAACGCCAAGAAAAGTGTGCTTTCTTCATTACAGAGGACCAGTTATCTGGGCGTGGTGTGGGATTCGACCAGGATGCAGGCACGATTGTCCCCTGCTCGGATCGAGTCGATCCGCACGGCAGTCAAGAGAGTCAGAGAAGGCCAGTCACTCACTGTCAAGCAGTTTCAGAAAATATTGGGTTTTATGGCAGCTGCGTCCAACGTGATACCTTTTGGCCTGCTGTACATGAGACCCCTACAGTGGTGGCTCAAGACCAAGGGGTTTTCCCCGAGGGGAAACCCGCTTCGCATGATCAAGGTCACGCGGCGATGCCTACGTGCCTTGGACATGTGGAGGAAACCTTGGTTCTTGTCTCAGGGCCCGGTTACTAAATTATATTGACGATTGGTTGATTTTGGCTCAGTTGGAGCAGATGCGTCCCTCACCGGCTGGGGTGCGGTCATGAGTGGCCTCCCTGCCCGCGGTCTGTGGAGCGATCGCCATCTCACTTGGCACATCAACTGCCTGGAGATGCTGGCCGTAATTCGAGCTTTGAAGCACTTCCTCCCCGACCTAAGAGATCGCCATGTGCGTTTGTGCCCCTCGTACAAGCTGGCGCACCAGATCCTTGTGTGGTCCCAGGGCAAAATCCTTTCATTGTGAGCAGTACGAGGTGGTGAAGCAGATATGGAGAATGTTTGGCCAGGCTCAGGTCCCCGATTGCTCCGCTCCTGGGAGTTCTGGAGAGAGTGCGCCGGGACGGGGTCCGTCTGCTACTAGTAGCCCCGTTCTGGCCGGGCCGAGTATGGTTCTCAGACCTGATTTCCCTTCTCGACGGCTCTCCATGGGAGATTCCCATCAGGAGGGACCTCCTCTCACAGGCGGAGGGCACGATATTCCACATCCGCCCGGAGCTGTGGAAGTTATGGGTGTGGCCTCTGAGGGGGCACATAGAAGCTCTTTGTAAGTCTCCATTCGAGCCTATAGAAGAAATTTCTGATCGCTATCTGACAATTAAGACTGCCCTTCTTCTGGCTATTACTTCTCTAAAAAGAGTTGGGGACCTTCAGGCCCTCTCAGTGGCCCCTTCTTACTTAGACTTTGCGCCCGGCATAGCCAAAGTGTTTCTTTACCCTCGAGGGTCCCTAAGGTTCCTTCTGTTACACCACAGCCTATCGTACTACAGGCCTTTTGTCCTCCTCCCTTCAGGGAGCCAGACCAGCAGAAGCTTAATTGCATGTGTCCAGTGCGTGCACTGGACACATACATCCACAGAGCTGCCCTGTGGAAAAGGGCGGACCAACTGCTTGTTTGCTATCGTCCCCCCAAGAGAGGTCTTCCTGCTACTAAACAGACCCTCAGCCGGTGGAAAGTCGATGCCATTTCTAATGCTTATGAGTCGTCTTATCTGCCCTCGCCATTGGGGGTCAAGGCTCACTCGACCCGAGGTATGGCGGCCTCCAAGGCCTTCTTGACTTGTTACAATCAGTTGGCAAACTTCTTTCTGAACTATTGCAATGAATGAAATAAATTAGCTATTATTTAATGTGATGACAATAAAGAAATAAAGAAATATATAAAGATCTGCCCAAGAACATGTTTTGAAGCTCATTGTGTATATTTAAACCAGCCTGACTTTCTTTTTTTTCAGTATTTTTTTTCTTGCTCTACCTTCATGTTTAATGAGCAAGACAAATGTTCATAAGCAAATATTATTGTCTGACAGCTTCAGGGTTAACTTCTCCATGAGGGAAAACAGTCTTTCTGTGCGTAGAACACAAAATAAGAAAATCTAGCACAATGTCCAAGCTGTTATTTTCCTTACAATGAAAGTAAATGGTGACCACAGCTTCCCTGGTCCCCATCCACTTTCAATATATGAACAAATAGCAGCATTACATATCTAAATATTCCAAGCAAGCCAAAAAAAAAAAAAGAAAGCCGTAAGAGTTTCGAACGACATGAGAGTCAGTAAGCGATAACAAAGTGTTCATTCTTGAGTGAACTATTCTTTTAAGTTCAGTTCTCCCCTGCTGGGTGCATCTTATGCATGATCAAACAAATGATAATAGGCAAGTCTGAGGCCAAGTAGCTTTTTGTTATTTGCAGAACTGAAGCCAGTGAATATATTTGTCACTGCTGAGAAAAAATAAAGATTTTTAACTGTCTGTAACATTATGCTTCAGATCACTTGAAGTCCTTGTGCATCTAACTGAAGTAGCTGTAATGATGGCTTTCTGTCCATCAGAAAACTAAGCCCATGTTTAGTCATGTTTTATTTAATCGAGATATTTAAATATCACCTCGTGATTTAAAGGTTCAGAGATTATATGTTTTAAATTTTACTAAAATAGCTACTGACACAATCCTGTTTCAACTGATAGATGTCTTTATGTGAACACAAAGATGTCTATGAGATCTGATGAATGTGTGAGCAGATTCCTTCACACATCCATCTGTCCTTTTTCATTCCATGTCATCTGAACCTCATGTGTCCAGCTTGTGTCTTTCACTGTCAGCTTTGAGAAAAGAAGATGGCCCAGGGGTGAGCCCTGAGGTACATTGTTCAGAGTTTATTTTGAAATTGTTGCTCCTTCCATTATTTTACTGCTCACAGAGTGGGAATCATCATTGTCGTAGACGTAAAGATGCTTGGGGACTCTGCGTAAGTCATCTTTCCATTCCACTTCTAGTGTACTATTTCTCTCTGGCCCGATTTACACCTGGTGTTAATATTAATCTCAAGTAATCCAATCACAAGAGCTCTGTACTAAATAACCGGCCATAAACGGGGTCCAAAACACTTTGTGATCCAGTCACTCATACAACACTAAGTAAATATAGTCAATTTTGATTTCACTGGTTGCAATACCAGGTGTAAATTTGGCTCTTTTTCTGTCTGCCTGACTCGCTCTTTCGCCTTACTGAATTTTCTCATTACTTCATTCCTCTTTTCACTTTACATTGTCATATTCCAATATTTTTTTCATTCTTGTTATCTCGTGTCAAGAAATTATTATTACAGCACCTCTTGCAGGAAACTAAGTTTAGAATGGCCTTTGTCAACACATAAGAGTGTTTTCCAGGATTTTTCAGCAATTATAGACTTTTGTGATAAATTGTCATGTTGTATTAGAATGGACTACCTGTTCTACTGATCAGCTAAGAAGATGTTATTTATTTCCTGTTTAACTGTACATATGAACAAGCTGTTTGTGTCGGACTATTGCGTGTTGTCACTCTACACTGAACTTCAAACAATGCATACAGCACTGAGCATTAGTGGCATCAGGCACTGAAACAGCGAACCAATATACTTCATACTCTATACAGTAAAACATATTAAGCAGGGTAGTGGTGGAAAACATAGCAATTTTTTTAGCTTTTGATGTCTTTCATACAGATATATCAATATTGTTTAGTATGTTGGTATGTTTTTTTCTTCTTCTAAAAATCAATATTGTTTTGCTTTTGAGGTTTACACTCACACGGTCACAAAACAAGGAAGAATCATGTCACAAATCTAATGACATGCTTTTTAGGAAACTTACCCTAAATAAATATACTCTAAATAGGAATAGTTCACCCAGACATAAAAAACTAAATTTTGTCATCAGTTATATTCAGTCATATTTTCAAATTAAGATTTTTTTTTTATAAAACCTGAGTGATTTCTGTCCCTCCACTGAAAATTAGTTTCGCTTCAAAAAGTTACGAGAAAAGTAATCCATATGATGAACACACATACATAAAGCACATCAAATATGGTAAACAAAGCTCAACCGCACTTGCCGGACGTAAGAATGCGCATGTATATTTGATGCACTCTATACAGTATCTGTGCATTGATCCGTGTTTATATGTGGATAAAAGCCTAACTTAAATATGTTCAACATATAAAGCAATAGTGCATCTTTAGAAGACTTGGATTAAACCGATTACATTTATGATGTCTTTATGAAAGTTTAAAGGATCAAAGTTGGACTTTCAATGGAGGGACAGAAATTCCTCAGGTTTCATTAGAAATATCTTCATTTGTGTTTAAAAGATCAATGATTGTCTTATGGGTTTGAGACAACATGAGAGTGAGTAGTTGATGATAATATGTTCATTCTTGGGTGAGCTATCCCTTTAACTTCATTCAAATATTTAAGATATTCACTCCAATTGCTTAAAAAATCTAAAGCAAAATAATCACAAATGTATCATTAATATAGTTGTAATATTATGCATCCTGATATATGAATGTATGCTTTGCACAGAACTTGCTGGAAATTGTTTCATTGCTCTTTAAGGTCCTTTCATGTGACTCACATCAGTGTCATACGCCTCTTTGATTTCCAGAAGCAAAAATGTTGCAGATAATGTTACAATTTATTCATTTGTATAGGCTGTTTATTTGTGTATATTATTATGATCATTCTCTGATTGGCGTGATCTGATTTGTGCCATATAACTTGAGATCAGTGCGTTGTGTCATATATCCGTGTATCTTCCACTGGTTGCTCTAATTTTCTTGTTTCCACAGAACTCTGGGAACGAAGAGCTACTGAACCCAGCTGACTATGTGAGCTGCCATCACCCAGGCAACCAGGAACAATTTGTTGAACCTCCACTTCCTTCTGCCTACCCCCCTGTTACCTTCCTGCCCCAGAAACCTTACACCCAGCACCCTACTAATACCCCCATGTACACGTTCCAGCCCAACGCTGCCCCTCCCGGCCCCCGACCCCCGTTTAACTACCCCAAAGAGCAGTCCGTCTAGACCCATGGCTGTCTGAGTTGGAAGACGCCCCATTGCCCCATACAGGATAGCCATTACGCGTCACACCTGGAGAGAGCAACACTTCCTTCCTCATTACTGTTGTCCTGCGCTGGCCACATCAGGATGCAGACGGTCTCTCGGAACAGTGAATAAAAATGTCAGTAGTTTGTGGACCTGAAACCGTGTGTGTTGTGCACTGCATGTTTCACTATGAGGCTGTGGTTAGGACCCCTAGTCTTGTGCTGTAAATATAGAAACACCGCACCACAACTGTACACCCTCCCTCCCCTCACAACAGCACACCTCACTTCTCCTGAGCACAGGGTATCAGCCTTCACTCTGCCTAAACCTGTCTTAGATCTTTCCCTCCATTATTTTAATTCTGCCAAGTGTCTGACCATTGACAGTGTTTGAAGAAATTGTCACCCAAAAGGGAACGTTCTGTCATTATGTATGCACTCTCATGTCATTTCAAAGCATATGTTGGTATTTTTTTTCTAGAGCATAAAGATGCATTTTTGAATAACCTTCTCGCAGCTCTTTACTGGGAAACGGTTCAAAGTAATTAAGTCTGTCAGGTTCCAAAAAGGACAACAAACTTCACAGAGGTACCATAAATGTCATGTGGACCAGTTTTATGGTTCTTTTATGTTCTTTTTTGTCGTTTTTAGATCTTGTATGGAAAAAGAACCACATGAATGATATTTAAAGGGCCCCAAACTCCTTAAAAGTACCATTAATGTCGTATGGACCAGTTTTAGGGTACTTTTCAGTTATTTTTTGACCTTTTTAAATCTTGTATGGAAAAAAGAACTGTGCAAATGATATTTGAAAGGTATTCAGTCTCAATAGATGTACCATAAGTGTCATATATTTATTTTTAGTGACAAAGGGTTCTTTAGCTTTTTTTAAATGTTCTTCAAATTAAGTAAAAGTGGTTCTTTTAAAAAAAAGTTCACCGAAAAGTACTTTGGGGAACCAAAATTGCTGCTTCTGTGGCATTATTGTGAAAACCTGTATTTTGGGGTGTGTGGAAAAGAACTGCGTGAACAATATTTAAGAGTTTTATTTTTGCGTTCCTTCTAAAAAAAATAAATGCATACAGATTTGAATCACATGAGGTTGAGTAGATAATGACAGAACTGTTTCTTTGTCATTGTCACCTTTTTGCTTTTTTGCTTTTTCCTCTTTCAGTGAGTTCTGTTTTATCGATTGCTACACATTTGTGTGTTACTCTTTTATTCTTCAGATTATATTTGCTTGCTTCTTGTTGTACATGCTTGAGTTGAGTGACTGTTAAATATAATATTTTATTTATCTCATGACATTTTGTCAAAATTACGACATGGCACAACATCCCTACACTGATTCTGCTGCAATAGCATTATATGGGTAAATTGGCAGTGCCCATATGTCTCAAATAGTACCGAATAGTACCAAATATCAATACAATATTTAGTCATACTAATCTAAAATGTGAATGTTCCCTCTGCTCTAAATGAAAAATTAAAGGGCTCTATTTCACTTCCTCTCATAAGATATCATCTGACACAATGTCACAAATAAAACACTTATTTTTTGATGACATAAACACTTTCATCTAATTTTGCTTGTAGTTACCAAAGAAATAGAGCATTCTATGTTTGCTTCCACACAAATGTTTACATTTGGTATTATCAAAGGTTTAGAGAGATAAACGGATACTTTTTAATCAGGACACTCATCCACGTTTCAAGCGATCCAGATAACCGTAACTCTCGTGTATCAATTTATTTCTTTGAAATCTTGTTGTTAAAAGATAATGTGTTTTATTTCCGTTGCTGCTGTATTCATAAGTTGTCCTCAAAAATGCATGTGTTTCCGTACAGTCCATGTCTTTAATTTTTATCATCCCTGAATAGCTTTTTGTTAAAACTACTATTAATGTCCCATTTAGTTACACTGGTTGACCTACCCAAAACCTTTTCAGGGACAATCCACAACTTTCTTCCTCATTAAGCTATTTTTGAAAGAAAAGCGTATGTTGATGTATTTTTTTAGAGAACAATCCTCAATATGCTCTTACCGTCTAGAACATATTCAGCATTATATTCAGCCCTGAAACCTTTATGAAGAGCCAATAAAAATCACTGCTGCCCTCTTTACAACCCCAACCAGACCTCTTCAAAGAATGAGATCATCTGACAAGAATGACGCTCACGTTGTTAGGCCATGTCAAATGTACATGCTGGAAAAGAAAAGAAAAAATATGCTCAGTGTTTGTGCTCAATGTGAAAGTTACAAGTGATAAAAGAGAAACCCTTAGAGTTGTTCTGGATTGGTTTTAAAAATGTATTTTTGCGGTGGTTTATGGGATAGGTTACAATTTGTGAAGCTATCTACTGTGCACACCTTTATGTCTGGCATTGATTTTTATGTGTGTACTAATGTAGCATTAGAATCATCTGTGGTTACTGGGTCGCATTGCTGGAAAGAAATACCTGTCCCCATGTCACATATTTTGGATTATTGCTGCCACTTGTAGTATTATTATTATTATTATTATTATTATTATTATTCAACACTGAAGATCATGCATTGTTTGTCACTAGTTGAGTTTTCTTTGTTGTCCTATTGCCTCGGATAATTTGAAATAATATGTAAATTCTTTTTCTTTTCTTCTGAAATTGTTATATTATGTTACTTCAATTATATGTTTGCAATCCTGCCGAGTTTGTTTTTTTTACACGTAAGCTGTACTTTTTGTTAATATTTTCTAACACATGCAATGTATATATTATATCTTCATGTTTGTAAAAGAAAATCTTCGTCCGAGTCATCATGAACACATTAACTCAATCATTGTATGTGTCACTGCTATTTATTCTTCCATATGTGAAACATTATGACTTTTTTGTCTTTTTTTACATGGGGATTATGTTTGGTGTAAAAATGTACTTTATGTGCCAGATGTGTGAAACAAAACTCATGCAGATTAACATTAAACCTCACAAAATCTTAAAAAAAAGGGTTTGTTTTGAAATTTACTGTGGAGCGTCTGTGAAACTAAACTGTATTTTGCTGAAAGCTTTATTCGCAAAACTATACTTTTGAAATCAACTAGTTGGTGAGTTGCCATAACAACTAGTTGACTAATTGTATTGAAACTATGTTGGTTCTGGTTTCACCTGACCTTGAAAATAGCTTGATGGAACCTGGCGAAACTCTTTAAAAGTTGAGCTATTTTTAGCTTACTCAGCATTTTCTAAAAACAAAAAATGCCATGCCTCATAGTGACCTGAAAACAACAGCAGTATTAAACTAAATATTTATTGAATGTTGTTGCACGTCACATAAGGACTTCTGGGAAAACCTCTTGAAGGCTCTTGGAAATAGGTTTTTTTAAACAGTACAATGTAATGAAGTATCTAAATAAACTGATTTACTAAAATAAATTAGGCTTGAGAGAGAGAGAGCATTTTAGGGTCAGGTTTTTAAGATCACCTTAACTTACATCTTCAGTTATTCTCCACTGAAGCAATGTTTGTTTTCCAAACCAGCACATAGATCTCATTATTAAGTGGAACTTAAGTGCATCATTAGAGAGCTGTGATATCTAAACAAGCTGGAAAAAAAAGCTTAAATGTGACCCTGGACCACAAAACCAGTCTTAAGTCGCTGGGGTATATTTGTAGCAATAGTCAAAAATACATTGTATGGGTCAAAATTATTGATTTTCCTTATATGCCAAAACTCATTAGGATATTAAGTAAAGATCATGTTCCATGAAGATATTTTGTAAATGTTCTAAATGTATTTTTGATTAGTAATATGCATTGCCAATTCTCAATATGTTGATTTTTTTTTTTTTTGCACCCTCAGATTCCAGATTTTCAAATAGTTGTATCTCGGCAAAATGTTGTCCTATCATAACAAACCATACATCAATGGAAAGCTTATTTATTCAGCTTCGATCAGTTTTGACCCTTATGACTGGTTTTGTGGTCCAGGGTCACAAATGTTTGCCAGTAGCCTGGTTCTAATTCTGTATCTTAAATAGTTTCTCTCTCTGACATAAAAATACTATTCACTTCAATATTGATTTGAAAATACTTCCCAAAATATCATAATTTAAAAAAAAAAAACTATATTTTGATACAATGTTATTATGCTACAAGAACAGCTAATGCTCTCTGATGAAAATTAATTTTCTTTCACAACATCTGCTTAACCCAAAGTTCTCCTTTACATAACTGGAAAATTAATATAGTCTATGTTTGAATGCAAGTGTACGTCAGTACTCTGATCAGTGGTATAAATAGACTGTGCCTTGAACATTTTCAAGTTTTGTCGTAACCTGTAGCCAATGTACTTGCAACAATATGTCTAAATAATGTATTGGACTGAAGAACATCATTCAGATTTTATAGCTCAAAAGGCATTCATTTTAATTTGATTGGGAAGGCAGGATGATTTTCTCCATGACTGTGATATGCCATTAAATCCATCACAAAGCTGTTTTTCCCCCCGTGTCCACTAGAGCAGCAGGCATTGCCAGATATTTTCTCTGTCTGATTGGGCATTTGGAGGTAGTGCTAAATTCCACACTGTGGAAATTGTTTCCTGTCCCAAATGGCCTGTCCCGTTACGGCACTTTTTGACAGCTGACAGTTGTGTTTTATGCATACTGATTCAAAATATTTATTCACCAACTGTAATAAGCAACCTCTGAAAGACACAAGTAATCAAAATATATTGGAGGAGATGTGCCTCCCTCAGTGGAGTCAATAGTGGATGTGGCCCTGTTTATATCCTTTCAAAAAGACCATGAAATCAAATTTGAAGATGTGTTGCTTTAAAGGGATAGTTCACCCAAAAATGAATACTCT